TTAAAAAGAGAAATTTGTTCTTGAAGTATACTTTATTTAACATAATACATCCAAAGTATTAGCATTTCAACCTGTAATCAGCAGTTAAAATCATCAATGAGTTTTTTTGTACTAAGACTTTGACACCTATTGTATATTTCACAGTTACAAAACATCTCAATTGGGACTAGCCACATCTCAAGTACTCACTAGTCACATGTGGGTTGTGTCTACCTTATGAGAAAGCAAAAGTTCAGATTATTTACACAGAGGCATGTAGTAGGAAATAGTGGTCTCAGTTGACCAGCTTCTGGAAAGGAAAAATATTCTGGTATGGAAATCTAGGACTTTAATTCCACTCACGATTTCACCTTTTACTGGTTGTGAGATAGTAGACCAGGAGCTCCTTAAAGCTTAGTTTCTGGATATATTAAGAAAAACAAGCAAATGGCATCTTTACAATCCTACCACATAACCCTTTTCTCAAGTGAAATCTTATATGGAAGCCCATATTTAAAACATAGGAACTGCTTCTATGTGGAAGGCATGGGAGCTGGCTGGGTACAAATGTTTAGCCTACACTTAAACACACACACACACACACACACACACACACACACACACTCTTCTGAGGGGGTTCTAATGAAAACTTTGGGCATATCTGAAACTTCTTAGAGGAAATTATCCCTAAGATCTTTTTCATTTTAAACAAGTCTATGATTCCATGGGTAAAATTTCACTCAAACAGTTGTCTCAGACAGTTTTTAAGATTTAATAATGAAATACAGATTATTATTGTGAGTCCAGTACTCACAATCAGTACATCAGTACATTGTGTCTGTTTCACATTTTTAGTTTTATAGCATCAATATTTTTTATAAATGTAAGTAGATCTTTAAGATCAATTATTCAAGTGTTTTTTAATGTTATTTTTCCCTTAGTGATGGACTTTTCTTTTCAAACGATATAAATAAATCTAAATTACTATATGATAGCTAAAATCAGGACCATTGCGCAAAGTCTAAGTGGTTGTAAAGAGGCAAAACCTCAACAATTCAGGATCTTGGACATGCCCTCCTCCATAAGTGGCCTCCAAGAATTCACTGAGTAGACCCATGTACAATTCCATAACCAAAGATTAAGCTCAGCTCCAGCTCCTTCATCAGATAAGGGAACTGAAACTCAGTAAAGTGCTCAAAATTCCACCCCAGCTGGGGGTCAGAACTACACTAGAACCCCATTACCCCTGCGCTGAAGCCAGGAGGAACTAGCTTGCAAACGCTGATTATTATATTTTCAGAAATTTTTCAAGCCAAATGTTGAAATCAGCTATGGGGAAAATATTTTCACCATAAAAAATCAATTGCCACGAAAATCCCAGTTTCCCCCTGGGAGCCCTTGTTACACCTTTATCAGCACACCTCTGAATCCAGGTTCCTGAGTCCAGGTCTTTACACTCCACACAGCATCCTGAGAAGGAATACACTGCATTTTAACAGGAAACAAAAATTTAAGTTAATAAAACAAATAAAAGATAACCCTAAATAGAAGTCGTTGTCTGTTCGTGACTGTTGAATTCGAAGTCAACATTTAAAAGAGCAATTTTTCTCAGTATGTATTTACTATTGCCTATTGCCCAGTGGATATTGATTCCTTTGATTCTCTCAAGCTGTTATTTGGAGTATTCAGCTACTGGGGATTGATTTTTTTTTTTTTAATATTAGGTGAGCTAGGCAAGTAAAAGTTCTAAGAACATTATTTTAAAAAAATATTTCACATTACAAACTTTTCAAATGATTTAAAATTAAAGCCTGAGCAAAATGTGAAGAGAATCTATGGAAACTGCCGCTCAAGCAGCAAGCGACCTGATATACCTTCTCTCAGCCTCCTGGCTCTGTTCCTGGCTGAGAAGGTTATTGAGAGGTCGGTATAAACAACTGCAGAGTCTTCAGGCCTCCCGGTTGGCCTGGTGTCTCCTCGGTTTTAATCCTCCCATCTGAACTCCTGACTCATCTTAACAACGACCTGATTCTGTCTTCCTCTTCCTCCCCTTCCTCGCTGCTTTTCTCCTGGTCCTTTGTGGCGCTGCTGCGCTCTCCTGCGGCTCTGCTGCGGGCCTGTTTGGGCATGCTTGTGATGTCAGACGCCTGCACTTCAGCTGTCCTTTTGTATCCATGGTGATGGATGAAAAAAAAAAAAAAAAAAGCTGCTTTGCAGCAATTTGCGCTTTAATCCATCCAAATGATTCTGGCTTGATTATTCAGGTGATTTTCCCCAAAACTTTCAAAGCGCCAAGTATTGAATTATTAAAGAGGAATTAACATGTGTTTTTTGTTTGTTTGTTTGTTTTTGTTTTTTTAATTTCTTTCCTTCCTTTAAAAAAAAAAACCAGTGTTATGCCTTGGTGATTTCCATTAATCTTCTTTATCTCAGCATCTGAAAATGTTATCTTTATAATTAAATCAATAAGAAAGTAATTTCAGAAATGTGATTCCAAAGGAAAAGAAAGTCTAAAGGGGATTATTATTTAACGTTCCCTCTCGCTGCATGTACATAACTAAGTAAAAACAGAATGCAACGTAAAATATGACAAAAACCATGACAACAAAATAGGGTTGCCCAAAATGTTGGCTCCTTAGCAATAGCAGTACTTGAAGCTGTTTTTGTGGTCTTTAGATGGAATACTAAATAACTTTGGCTTCAGATCTTTTCACATTCAGGAAAGAGAAAACAGCCTGATTGTCCTCTTTAGCACCTTGCTAACAATGCTTTTTTTTTTTTTCTTAACAAGGAAAGGCAGGCTTTTTTCACATAACCTTTGCAAGCAATAGTTTCTAGCTAATATGTCTCCATCCTGTCAGTATTCATGTATGAATGACTCTGACTTTCCAGTAATGGTAAAATTTTCTTACATTAAAAAAATGTAAGTAATCAACAGTACAGAGGAAACAAATGGAATTGAAGTCATGGTATACTAATGAGGTAGCAGGGTAGAAAAAACAGAGCAGCAATTTCATGTGCTTTGCCCCAACCATATTATCAAAATTAATAATTGGAAATAAAAGCAAGTTAGACCCCTAATACTGTGACACAGGGAAACCATAGTAGTTGAATGAACTAAGAACTTTTCTCCCTAGACCAATTAAACAATACATAGAGTGGAGTAAAATTTAGAAAGCTTGAAATTGTCTCTAATCTTCCCCTTACCCCTTTTGCTAAGTGGAATGTTGGGTGGGATTTTTCCTGCTACCTTAGAATTGTAATTACTGTCCAAGCTGAGCCATAAATAATTAGGATTCAAAACTTTTCAGCATGGCTAGTTAAAAAGTGTACAGCTAACCTTATTACCATCAACCTCCACCCTAGGAAACTCTTCTCTGGGTCTTTACCTCACAAAAAGAGGGGTAGATCTATGTACGGGAAATGAGGTAAGAAACCAGATTTGCATTCTGGGGAGGGTTCTAACACTGCCAAAGCCTAGTGGGTGGACTGAGTGGAGGAAATCCAGGGTGCCTCAAAGAAGAGGAAATTGACATCTCACTTCATAGCAGATGCCTGCTAAATTGCAGCCTCTTTGTCACTGTGTTGCCCTTGGAATAAAGCATTTGATACAGTCTTTGGGAGAGTTCCCCATAGTTCATGGCACATCTATGGAGACTAAGATCCATTTCTCATCTAAAATTTTTCTGAAGGTGGAAGTAGAAAGACCACTGCTAAAGAGATAATATGCCTGAGAATATGAGGACTCTTGCCCCCAGTTGGGTTCTCCGTGACATTAAACGACAGGGCAATGAACTCTGAGTAGTTCCATGTGAAGGAGGAAAATATCAATGAAAAGTATAGCAGCCTTCAGGCTGTTGGTGGGATAGATGCACAACCCAGAGAAGCTGGGAGGGTAAACTGCTAGTAAACCTGAGGGAAGTCCTTCTCTTCCTCACAGTGACAAAGCAGACTTTTGAAAAGATGATTATTGTCCAAGGGAACACTTGACTGCTTGTAGACCATCTTAGCCTCTGGGACACTAGGATCAAACCTGCACATGCTGAACTGGAGTGAGGGCAGTCCCCCCACAGCAGGCATTCATATAAGAAGTTGGTGCCTTCCCTCACCCTCTTCCAGAGCCAGGGTTCTACCTCCCTACTGCTCCCCAAGTTCAGTCACTGTCAAGGTTCTAGCTTCTGCTGCAGGGAAGGAAAAGAAATTGACCAGAAATGAAACTGAAGTTTTAATAGTATGCTTCAGAAGTAGAAAGTAAAATATCGTGAAATTTGTCCAAAATGTTATAATGATAGGAATCTGGAATTCAACAAAGCATACTTGAGAGCAGTGAATGGGGGCAGGGGGGAGGCTGTAGGCAGGATACACTTTTAATTAATATCCTGCTGAGCCGAGACTACTCAATTAATATATAGAATCCGACTACATACATAATTTTGAATCATGATTTTTTGCTTAATAATTATACGATTTTATCATCTTAAAAAATCTCTATAAATGTCATCTATAATATTTTCATAGTTCCATTTTATACATATGTCAATTTTTAAACTATACTGCATTGTAAAACATTGGTGGTATTTTTAACTTTTAATATTTGAATTACAATATCTGTCTCTTTAAATATGATTATTATCACTATTAAATATCTACCGATCTTTGGGCAAAGACTCTTATTTATTTTTTAACAGGAGACAGTTTGGGGTATTGATAAGCCAGCTAGGAATTTTGATAATGTGTTTACTAATCTGGCAGCATTACATGTTTTTTCCTCCCAATGTTTGACAATTTGTGCAGACCTAAAAGCTGCAGTCAAATAAGATATATTGTGTCCCTGCTTTCTAGAATGTAAGCATGAGGACAGCAGTTCTCTGTTTCTTTCTCTACATTGTGCCTAGGATCTTAGAAAAGGGCCCTGCACTAGAAAGGCATTTAAATAAATATTTTTGAATGTAAATAAGTGAATGTGGTTTGAAATAGAAGTGGGACCTAATTACTCCTTAATTTCCCTTTGGTTTTTGCAGAATGGTTTGTGGGAAACACATAAGTACCTGGGTGGAGCAACTTTGGATCTAATGAGGGAAACAATGAGAGGACCAGGTCCTGTAGCAGAAGACAGACAAAAGGTAAGAAGGAGATCAGGTCCCTAGCATCTGAACAAATATTGACGTGGTCCTATGACCTTGTTCTTTGAGAGATCCAAATTAATTAATCTCATTAATAAGAATCAAGCTTGTAACAAGATGACTGAAACCAAGCAATGGCCATATGGAGAATATCATTCCTAGTTTTGTTAAGTGGTGGACAGAACTCACACATCTAGCTCTCTGCTGGCCACTATCCCAGTGAATAGAAAGACATTAAATAAATTTTTAAAAAAAGGTTTTAAAGATTAAGAGCATAATATTAAGGGTGAGAGGCAGAGAATGTCAGCAGTTAATCACCAGTCTGAGGAAATTCTAGAAAATAGAAATAAAACCAGATTAGACTAAAGGAATAAACCAAAGAATAAAAAAAAAAAATGACAGCCTCACACTTCAGAGGTAAGAGGGATCCTTTCTAAAGGATGCCCAGAAAAATTCCTAACTTCAAAGGCAGCATTTGCAAAATTTTGTTCAAGATGAGGCTAGCACACTGAAATGTTCTTTAAAAGTTCTGAAGACAGTTGGATCCTCCCACTCCCCCTTTCTTGTCTTTCCCCTGGGATTACATTTCCAAATTTAGTGTATAATCTCAGCATATGAGAATTACTTAAAACTATGAAACAACATCAAATTTCAACAATTAAAAAATTACTAAAAAACAGTAAGGGGAAAGATAGGGTGTCTCTATAAGTATCCTAATTTCCTTATCTTTCATACCAAAAAGTAGATAAATGCTGTCTAAAATTAGCAAGTCAAAAACTACAAGTGATGTGTATTATTTTAGGTTAAGAATAACTACCACAAACAAACAAGAATGCTTTTAAAAACATACAAGGGTACTGCTGAAAGTTTATCTCTGGGGAGTAAGACTTTGGTATTGGTACAGGAAATGTAGGCATGGGGGAGAGGGGGAGTTTCATACAAACACATTTGTATAATTTAAATTTCTTTTGTGTTTTAATAGTTCTTCAACAAAACAAGCTAATTTTTAAATGCTTAGTAGGAGAAAAATATAAGGAAGTGAACCAAAATATTAGTAGTGGTTTGTTGTTGTTGTTGTTGTTGGTGGTGGTGGTGGTGTGTGTGTGTGTGTTTATTATTCTTCGTTTTTTGCAGTGCTAAGTATTGAACCCAGGTCCTCAGCTATGCTAGGCAAGTGTTCTGCTACCAAGTCACATCCCTCAGCTCAATAGTGGTTGTTTTTAATCAGAAAGAATTAAGAACAACAACAAAAACATTTTTTTTGTTGTTTTTGGTTTTCTACAGTTCCACATTTTCCATGGTATCTCTATTACTTGTATAAATAGAAAAAAATCATTATTAAGAAAATGTCACAACCATGGGGTTTCTGTAAAGTATTATACATACAAATAAATAATTAAAAACAATATTTAATTGAAGGCCAAGAGGAGAGACTGAGCATTGTAGCTGCTGATAGCAGGAAGAGGAATTTGGCACTAAAGGGAAGGAGTTAGAACTGGTACAGGAAAGTAATATATTTCTTTCTGACTATGCACTGGGAAAAAATGTTTGACCAGCCATGGAGCTTACTGAGCTGCTCCTGGATTTCTCATCGCTGTATCCTCTGCCCATCTAGATTTTTATATATGATGAGACCATCAAATCCATTTCCCCTGTCTCTTATTTATTACAACCAGATAAAAATCTGCCACCAAATAGATTATATTTTAAAAATTGCTCTTTCCTGGTTTTGGCCTGCCACCAATCAGACATGATTTTACAGAGTTAGTTTCATGATCACCCGTTGCTCTTCTCACTAGGCCAAGGAGTCAGGGTGTTCAGTACTTCTGTGGGATGGTTGCTACACATGGTGTATTTAGGATAGAATATTATCAGGAAGCATCTGGTTGCTGCAGGAGGTGCCTTTTCACAGCAGCTGTAATACTGGATCAATTATTAGACTGTGCAGCAAAACTGTCCTACACGTACTTTAATGTCATCCTCATGGCATCTGTCTCTGTCTTTGCCTTTCTTTTCATTTTTCACTGGTGAATGCCCTAGAAGGACATATTACTTGATGCAAAACCCAGCAGAGTATCTATAGAAGTCAGTGGTCCAGGGTGCACTGTTGGTTGAACATGAAAAGGGTACTATGCCCATCTATTATCTGAAGAGCTCCTTCAGAAATATACACCATTTAAGAAAGCCAAATGAAGGTCATTCAGAAGTTTTCATGCAATGTTTCCAAAATTTGAAGGACTTTTACTTTTTGAAGGACATTTTTTTGTTATATTTTGGAGGTCTATTTCTGATCCCACTGGTGGACTTTTTCCGTTGCAGGCTATAAAGATATTTTAAACTATACACAATTTCTGCAGAATTGCAAAACTTCATCTATAGGTTCTATGGATGAAGATTCTGTGGAGTTGTAGAACGTATTGACGTATTCAGGGAGCAGTGGCTGCCTGTACACTGGATTGTCTAAAAGTCAGCTTGATCTTCTTGGTCAAGGTTTTGGTTTTCAAAGTGTTATCCACAAACAAGCAGTATTTGCATGACTATGAATCACTCAGAATTTTAGGCCCAGTCCACACCTATGAAATAAGGATCTTCAATTCAGGTAATTCATACGCATAATAAAGCACTGGTTTCAGATAATCCAAGCTGCTTTGGAAAAATCTGTCAAAACAGAGACTCTATATCTTATGAATTGCATACCTAGCTTTCTTTCTTTTATTTTTTTTTTCTTCAGTGTTGGGAATTGTACCCAGGGCCTCCAGTGTACTATACTAGGCAAGTGCTCTACCACTGAGATACCTGAGATATATCCCCAACCCTGTTTGAAATTTTATTTTGAGACAGAGTCATGCTAAGTGGACCAGTCTGGTCTATAACTTGGGATCCTCCACCTTAGATTCTCCTGAAGCTGGAATTACCACTGTGCCCAACCACAACCAGCTTCTGAGCACGCTATATCACTCATTTGATATTCAAGTTAAGGTAGATACTTCTCATGAACATTGTAGGATTTCAGATGGAAGGTATTCTAAGCATGAGACCCAGTGCCCTAGGGTTTGGAATTAGCCCCTTCATTGCTTTGATGATTCAGATCATCAATTTTAATCATAACCAAAGTTTATCAGAGAGGATTCCATCTCCTGAAGAGTGTTCAGGTTTTAATCTGGAATCTGCTTTCTGCTCATTATTGCATTATTTCTTTGAGAAGCACTTACATTATCTACTAGCCAGATGTAGGAAGAAAAGACAGACTTAACAATTGATGTGAGTCAAAGAACAAAGTTTTAGTTTTAGAACTCACCTTCTGTGTCATGGCCTCTGAGTTTTCACCTGCCAGTCCCAGAGTTTCTTTGATAAAATATGCAGAATACTAAGAAAGATGGTGCTTGTATGTTTTGTCATATAGAAATACTCTGCAAGACTGGATTCCTACAAACCTCTTCAAAATCACAAAAAAACCTCCGTTTTAGATTAAATAGACACATGTCCAGATGAACTGAGTGCAGAAGAGTTCATCAACTCAGGAAAACAAATCCACACTTGTGGCGCCAGTGAAAAGAGACCCCAAACTTCAGTATGTGTTTTGGTTTGGACTTACTTGTTTGTTTGTTTTTCACCACTTGCATGAACCTGCAAACATGATAGAGCAAAGCAAAGATGATTCTTGTAATCATAATGAACAGAGACCATCAGAACACCAAGGTCCTGATGTAATTAAATCTTATAAGACAGATGGATTGTCCTTTTTCCTATTAAATATTTCTGTTAAGGCACTATGTTCTGGGAAAAATTATGATCTAATCCTGTGTTCTAAGCGCCCTTCATCTTAAGGAAATACTACAGTTATTATTCATAAGCTACTATATGATATGTCACCATCCATTTTAAATGACCTTTTCAAAAATTATGTAGTCAGTTGAGTCACAATGTTGAGAAACTTCAGCTCACAAGTTCAAATCTCCATGAGCTTCCAAGAGGCAAATGGCCCATCTTTCCCTCTTATTTTATAATGGTTGTCTAATGTATAACAAATTAATAGGAATTTCTATAAGATTTTTATTATAAGAAATTCCAGGGATTGTGGGGAGGAGACATAACTTCTAAATCACAAAGTTTGTGCTAAATGACTTAATGTATGCAAAAATATTAATAGAGCCTTTCTAATCTTCTCTTGACAAACACTGCTGACAGTCATTTGAGAGTTCTTGTTTCTGGAGTATTCTTTGAAATTCAATAGGAGATTTATTGAGGAATCTGCAAGAGGGAATAAAGAATGATGATTTGAAATTTGTAATTCAAATGTACTTTTCTCTAAATCTTAAAGTTCAGTCAATTGAAATATAAGTTGAAAAAATATAAAACTCAATAGCTTTCATATTTCAGATTGGCATGGTTAAGAGCAAAGGATTTGAAGTCAGAAGTCAGAGAGACCTGGGTCTGTCACTCAGGAGTTGCAAATTGGCGCAAGTTGCTCACAGTTCCTAAGTTTTAGTTCCCCTATTTGTAAAATGAAAAGCATAATGTTAATTTCCTCAAGTTATTTTGAAAATTAAATTAAATGATTGCTTAGTGAATTACAAATAAAATATATTATATTATTGTAACATACCTGCAATATCTAGCTAGAGAATATAACAGATATTATGTAGATAAATATTGTTATTACAGATATTGATATATTTAGCAATATCTATCTAGATAATGTAAAAGAAAAATACTTCTTTAACAACAGTAACATTCTGTGGCCTACATACAGAAAAGCTAAAAATATATCATGTCTCTAGAAAGGAAAACTGAATAAAGAGGTCAAATCATCTCAAATTGATTTATAGGCTAATTATAACTCCCCAAAATATTTTCTTTAAACACTTCAAAATTATCTTAAAATGTGTTTAATTTAGACATATAACATAACATATTTAACTACATTACTACTTATAATACCTTTTTTTTCCTTTTCTTTTCTTTTTAAATATTTTTTTAGTTGTAGATGGACATAATAC